CATGGTTGGCTGGTTCTGAAGCAGGAGCATCATGGCAGAAGGGCATGGTGGAACCTAGCTGGTCACTCCTTGCAGCCTGGAAGCAGAGTGAAGGGGAAGAACTTCTGAGAGAGATGCACCCTCCTAAGGCCCCAGTAAGCCCTGACAGCACACTCTGCTGTGAACATCAGTGGATTAATCCACTGAGCAGTACAGCACCCCCACATTCCCATCATTTCTCCGGGAGCCTCTTAATATAGTCAGGTCAGCAGCTAAGTTTAACCACCATAGAGGTTTCCCAGTTTTTCTAATATTGACAGGCTTCAAAATTTTGAAACCCTGAGGGCTAAAGAAAACCAGTGCTGTGGGCCTATTGTCCTGCAACTATGATAGAAGCCCCTCAAGGACAGATGAGAGGAGTGGTGGACTAGGAACAAGCCTGGGTCCTCTCCGGGAAGATTCCCCTTTTCTGAAGGTCAGTGGTTTCCTGTGTGAGCAGCCAGCCCTGTGGATCTGTCTGATTCTTCCCTTCTCCCTGCAGAATTCCCTCCCCCAACTCCCGGAAGGCTGTGCACCATCAGCTCTCAGCCATCAGCTCTCCTTGGGAACAGGATTCCCTCAGGAATCCCACATTCATCCTTTACTCAGGGGCTGCCTGGGCCTACTGAGGCCCCTGCCTCTCAAGGTGGCCCAGCTTGGGAGCAGCCCATGAGGTGGCTGAGGTCTTGTGGAGATGAATGAGGCTCAGCTTCTCCCTCTGCCATCTCCCCTCTCTCCAGCCATGTCTTGAGTGTGGTTTGCATATAACCCATGGGCTGTGCCCCGGAAGCCTGGTGATTCCTGGTGATTCCTGGTGGATCTGCTAAGGGCTTGGCTCCAGGAGCTCATGGTCAGGGGATCAGGCTGCCACCTTCAGAAAGGACCAAGACAGTTCTCATGGGACCCTGATTATTTCTCACCGAAGTGGGCTGTCATCAGGGTATTGGGCTGTATCAAGTGGCCTTCCTCCCTTACACCCACATGGCTCTTCTGCACATGGCTCTTCCTCCCCCTGCTTCTCCACCATGTTGTGACGAAGCCAGGAGGCCCTCACCAGAGACAGAACAGATGAAACTGAGAAATCCTGCATTTATGCACTTTGAGATTGTGAGCTACATAAACCCATTTTACTTACGAAATATGCAACCTCAGGTATGTTACTGTAGAAAATGGACTAATTATGTCCCCTCCCTCCCCTGCATGCTAATCTTACCTCATCCTCTGCCTCCTGTGGAACTCAATCTGTGAGATTTGGCTCTGCTCCCCTTTCTGTGTCCTAAGAACATGCATTTTAGCCAGCAAGGCCAACCCAGTAGCAATATTTGATGGGGATCATTTCCTAATTGCATTAAGATTTTAATCAAGAGACAATAATTTGAAAGTGACTTCAACAAATCTTCTGAGTGTGGACAGGGAGTGTGGCTTAGTGGTTGGTGCTTGCTTAGTGCATGGAAGATCCTGGATTCCATCTCCAGCTCGGCAACCAACCCATCAATCATTCAGTCAGTTCATCTGTCTGTCCTGCTTTGTGTACATACTTATTACATGGAATTTTTTAAAAAAATAGAGATGATTTTCTCTTTGTCCTTTGTTAGCTGGATATTAAAAATTAATTATGGAGCTGGATACGGTGGTGCTTGCCTGTAATCTCCATACTTGGGAAGCTCAGGCAGTAGGATCATCGGGAGTTTGAGGGCAGCCTGGGCTACAGAGTGAGACCCTGTCTCAAAAAAAAAGTTACAGAATATACAAACTCAGTGTTTAATAAGGAACTGTCCTGGAGTTGTGAATGAGGAAAAAAATGTAGTTACTAATCTTTTCTGTTTCTACCAGCTGGCCATGGGAATTTCGTAGGAGTGAGATATAAATGCAGGAAAATTGCCTGCAGTAGATATAAATGCAGGAATACTGTGGTGTATTCTGTTTTCAGTTACCAGTTTATATATTAGAAAACTGAGGTTTGACCAATCAAGAAAATGATCTGCACGACAAGACTGAAAAGTCACTTTTTATAGACCACAAGTTTTAGGAGTTTTGTTTTACTCTTAAAAAGTTTTTTTTTAAGAGTGAAAGAGAGACTCCTGCATCCATGAAAGAGGGCAGATAGGACCCCTGGAAAGAGAAAGGTAGGGTCAGGACACGAAATGAGGCAGTCTTGTTATAAAGAAGACAACAAACACCAAATGCTGGCAAGGCTGCTGCGAAGGGAGATGCATATGCTTTTGGAAGAAAAAAGTTACTTCCAGGCCAAAAGGAGAGAACAACACGGCTACTGAAGGAAGGGCACCCGTGGTTGGGGCCAAGTCACAGATCGGTGTCTCGTGAGATGTGTGCAGACGGCAGGAAAGGCCCTGGCCGAGTCAGTCAGGGCGTCTCCAGCGCTCTGCCCTCCTTGGCTGCCACCTTTCTCCCAGCAGGGCAGAAGCACACGTTTAGTAATGTGCAAACCTGGACCCTGGAAGCCACCACCAAGCATGAGACACCTCAGTTTTTCTTGTTAGTACAAGGGACTGAACCCAGGGTATGTGCCTGCCACTGAGCCCTTTCACTTTTTATTTTGAGACAGTCTTACTAAATTGCTGAGTTGCCTAGGCTGGGCTCAAACTTTGGTCTTCCTGCCTCAGCTTCCCAGAGTGCTGGGATTACAGGCACCCTCTGCCACACCCAGCTGAGTATTCTTTTTTTTTTTTTTTTTTTTTTTTGATACTGATACCACATAACCACCATTCTTCTTTATTCATGGAATTATAAAAGAAGCACTTAGGAGTCCCATCACTGGGATTTCTTCTTTTCCAAAAGAAGAGCACACACGCTTCTGAGGAGTGATTTTGCCTCTTATCTGACCGTGTGCTAACTGGCAAAGATTTCAGTTCAGCTGTTCAGCAAAGAAAACAGTCACAAACACAACGGAAAGAAGTTGTGTGCCCAGTTCCAAGGGCTTAGCTGTGGTGTTTTTCCCTCTGCTTGCAGCATGGTGGGATGGGGTATGGGTTGTGGGGTACCAGTCATGGGCTGAACTGTGTCCCTTCAAAATCTGTGTATTGGAACTCTACCCCCCAGCACAGGGCTGCGGTTAGAGACGGTGTCTAGAAAGGGGAGACCGAGTGAAGATGAGGCCTTCGTTGGCCCCAACTCTACCCAGTTGGCACCCTCATAAGAAGAGCAGGGCGACACAGAGAAGGCAGCCACCTGCCAACCTAGGAGAGAGGCCCAGTGTCTCCCGACCAGGTGACACCTTGATCGTGGACTTCCAGCTCCCAGAACTGGCAGGACACAGTGTGTTTTTCAAGCCATCCAACAGCTATGGTAGTTTGTTCTGCCAACCCCAGAAAAGGAACCTGGTACGTTAAAAAGCCAAAGTCAAAAAACCCATGATGGAGGGGAGAGGTTCATTCAGACTCACATTTTCAGTTCCTTGCTGCCTCCAAGGCAAGAAGAACATGGTGGAAAGGCCTGGCGGAGGAGGGCTGCTCGGTTATCATGGCCAGGAAGCAGCGACAGAAGGGAGGAGCCAGAGAGGAAGGTCTCTTCCCAGGCCACGCCCCAGCCCTGCCTGCGGCTCAGTGCCTGTCGGAAGTCTGGGGAAATCTGGGCTTTCTTCACATCCCTTTCTTGCAGCTGCAGTGCATTCGCGGCAAAGAGCAGGCAGTTGTAAATGTTTCCCGAGTCAGTGCATCTCTCGTCCTCGTGCAGTCACTACTGCCTTCATCAGCTTCTCACTGCGGTAGCACGTCCTGAGACAATCCACTTGCAGACAGCCAAGGTGCATTTTTGGCTCCCTGGCAGCGAGCTCTGGTTTTCTGGTGGTTGGCCGTGATGAGCTGGCACCTCATAGTGGGATCATGGGGAGCAAACTGCTCAGCTGGCGGCCAGGAAGCAAGAAAGAGACAAGGGTCCTGTTATCCTTTCAAGGGCGCCACCTCTGTGACCAGAAAACCTCTCACTGGTCCCACCCCTGAGGTTTCACTGCCTTTCAGTGGCATCTCCCTGGAGCCCAAGACTCCCACACATGGTCCTTGGTGGGGTGGGGATTTAAGATCCAATCTCCTACTCACCTTCTGAAGAAGAGTTTTGAAAATGAGACTCCTACATCCATGAAAGAGGGCAGATAGGACCTCTGGAAAGAGAAAGGTAGGGTCAGGACACGAAATGAGGCAGTCTTGTTATAAAGAAGACAACAAACAACAAATGCTGGCAAGGCTGCTGCGAAGGGGAGATGCATATGCTTTTGCTAGGAATACAAGTTAGTACAGTCATCATGGAAAATAGATACATTCCTCAAAAACTAGAAATAGATGTACTCTACCATACGTCCAGCTAGCCCATCTCTGGGTTTGCACGCAAGGAATGAAATTAGGATGCAGAGAAATACCCACATACCTGTGTTTCTTTGTGGCTGTGTTCACAACAGCTGTGCTGTGGAATCAGCCTAGGTGCCCTTCGACAGATGAGTAAAGTAAATGAGGTGTCTGGGTCACATCTTTCCTCCCTGCTGGGACGCAATAACCGACACCCACCACATCCAGGAGCACAGGCTCATTCCGACTCTTGGTTTCAGTCCATAGCTGGCTCCAAGGTGGAGGCCTGGGCAAAGAAAAGGTGCTCAGTATTAGTAGCCAGGAAGCAAAAAGCTACGGCAGTAGCTGGGGACAAGAAAGCAGCCTTCCAGGTCACATTCTCAGTGACTGCCTCCACCACTCCCCACCTCCTGGCAGCCCATGCAGCTGGGAACTCATCCGCGGGTGAATCTCCTGATGGGCATAGGCCCACTCACCTTCCACTCACGTGAGACCTTTCAGATGTAAGCCATGACATGTGGCGTGCTGTGGAATATAATTTACCTATAGAGAAAGAATAAAGTCTTCTCTTTCTGGCACTATTGATAGAATGAGAGAATGTGTTAAGTGAAACAAACTCAGATCAGAAGGACAGATACTTACATGCAGGAATCAAAAACTGATTTTGCAGAAGAGTAGGGTGATGGCCTCATCTAGAATGGGCGCTGTCAACTGGTGTCCAAAATTGGTCAGTGCAGCTAAATGGAGACACAGGTGATGCCTCTGTCATAGTAAATGTATCACTGTGGTGACAGTGAGACCTGCGACACTTTGCTTAAGAGTAAAATAAAGACTGAACAATGCTGATTTTCAATATTAGACATGAATAATGAATGAATAATAGTCTAGAATTCATATTCTAACACCAAGTACTTTAAATTCTAGGATCCTAAAGTAAATTGCTGGCAGAAGTTTGGGCCTAGAATCACAGGAACTTTGAAGTTGTCATCAATGTATTCGTAATTCAAGTGGAGATAAAAGCCCCAAAGAAAAGAAAATGATGATCAGGCAGATAGGATGGCTGGATTAAGCTTCAGTTCTTTAAAAAGGGCTGCTGTGAAGACAAAGCACCTCATTAAGATAACCTGCATTGGCATGGAAGGACTTATATATAAAATTCCTTAAATAACAAGGTATTGATTTTAAATTTAAAAAAAAAAGTATAAAAGTGGTTACCGGATGCTGGGAAGGGTTAGGTACCAAGGTAGAGTTTGAGGGAAAAATAACTTTCGATGTTCTTCTATAGCACAGCAAGGAAACAGTGGTTGATAGTCATTAATGGGGTGTATTTCAAATGGCTGGTAGGGTTTTTAATGTTTCCAATGCAAAGAAATAGGGGATCCAAGGTGATGGGTATGTCGGTTATATGGCTCTGCTCCCTGGATGTTGTATACAATTTAAAAAGTTGCATTATACCCCACAAACACGTACAACTATTGTATCAGCTGAAAATGTAGTAATGAGAGCTCTCTACCTGAGAGCCCTTCATAAGCTGTGTTCAACATCTTCAGTCTGACAAACTGGACTGATCTTCTGTCCTTTTCCGGGACTGCACTGGGCTGGGTTACTGGAAGCCGGAGGCCAGGGTGTGCCCGGGAGAGGTGCCCTGCTGTTTCCGACAGGACACACCAAGTGTGCCAGGCTGTGCCCACTGTACCACCTCTGAGTGAGACAGACGTGGGGGATGGGCTCTGTTTGTAACTTGGACTGGAAAAAATTTTGCAGATGTAGTCTTGGAGAATGAGTTGGCCCTGGTCACATTACCTAGTCTCTTTTATGTTTTAAACGGACAGCATAGGGCACATTGTGGAAAGTCAACGTGGCTATTCTATGAAAAGTTGAGTTAGTGGAAAAGGTGAGGTCTCATTTGTGCTCAACAACCAGGCAGACAAGAGAGCTTCTCAGAGGAGGTGGCAGGGTCACCCTGGGTAGCAGGGAACTTGGTTGGAAAGTGTCCATCCAGGCAGAGGGCCAAGGAGAGAAAGATACTGTTCTATGAGCCCCAGTCATTCCTGGGGAACAGGGAGGGCATGAGTTTGGGAGAATTTTAGGAAGACAGAAAGGTCAGAGGTTATCGCGTACCTACTGAAGGACTTTTCAGAGGCCATCGGGCAGTAAGAACAGTTTGAAAGCCCCTAGCACTCCCTGAAGATGAGGTACAACATAGGGCCAGAGCATGGGAGTGTATAGGTACAGCTTTGGCTTATTAGACAAAGGACAAAAACCAGGTTCAGTTAGAGCTACCTCCCATTGTACCAGCCTGCTCATGCCTGCCTAGATGGTAAGGCCAGGAGCTTTCTGGGTAAAGAAGGAGAGGCCGTGGGACTTGTTCGTTCTTGTTTGGAGAATGTGCTGGAGTGAATAGGATGACACTGCAGACAGGAAGAGTTCATAAGTGTTTGGGGCCTCTCGGGAGCCATGGTAGTGGTGCCTCGTAAGTCTTTTAAAGGTGATTCTAGCCAGAGGCAGTGGCATATGCCTGTGACCCCAACTACTCAGGAGGCCGAGAAGGGCAATCACAAGTTCCAGACCAGCCTGGGAAACCTGCTGACACCCTGTCTTAGGGGGAACAGAAGGCTGATGATACATAGCTCAGGGGCAGAGTGCCTGGGCCCATAGTGTTTCTAACATGAGTCATGTATTTTATTTTTATTTTTATAGTGAAGGTCTTACTATGTAGTTTAGCGTTGAACTCACTGTTTAGCCCAAGCTTTTTGGGCTCCTCCTGTCTCAGCCTCCTGAGTACTGGGATTACAGGTCTGCATCCGGCAGCCCCTGTGTTTCTCATTCCTTATTCCTCAGCCCGATCAGTCCTCATATCATCCTTGTAAAGGGCGCTCTTATGCACCTCAATTAACAGATGAGGCCCGTGAAGCACACAGACACAAGGTAGCCTCCCCAAGGTCACATAGCTGGTAAGGAACAGAGGAAAGCTCTGGCTGAGGGCAGAATCTTTGCTTTAATCACTAGGCTTTTTTTCCTTTACTGCTTGTCTAGGCTGTGTGTGTAAAACCTGCAACAACTACATTCACATACAGATTAAGTGGTGCTCTCACAGCATCCTAGGAAAAGAAGCTGCTTCCTGCGGCTGCACCGCTACGCGGCCCAAGCCTGCAGGGAGCAGAGCGCAGCAGCATGGCGGCCTCCCAGCCCTGCTGGGTCTGTAGATCAGAGCGCAGGCGCGTGGTGCGGCGCATGCGCCCTACGCTGCCCAGAGTTTGGGGGGAACCACTTCTGCCTCCGCGTCTGCCCAGGTGGCCAGACCCTCAGCCAGTGCGTGACAGGTAAAGAAGACGCCCTGGCGACAGTCTCAGCAGCCCATCACCACACAAGCTCCACAGCTTGCCGCAAGAGGAGCTTTTGTTCTTGTCCTGGTGTATGAATGAATAATCAGACTGGAATAGCAGAAACTCAAAAATTTGTTTTTCTTTTGAAGAACCCTGATGCATTCCCAATAATTGCTTTTGATTCCCAGCGCTTTCCTCTAAAAAATTTGGGATTTTTTTTTTTTTTTTTTTTGTTATTTGTTCGTCCCGTTGCCTTGAAGTTTCTGAAATATTACGTAGCACGGTCCCTGCCAGTTCTGCAGAAGTGTTGCTGTTGTTCAGAGCCCATTCGCAGCCAATTGCGGATTCTCCACAAACCTCCGGTGCACCAGAGAAAAATAACATAAACCAGAGAAGTGAGTGACAGCGAGGAGGCGGCTGAGCTGAGTGAAAGGCAGCCTGCTCAGTCTGGCTTGCCTTGTGAGATTTACTTGTGTCGGTTGGCAGGCGAGTTTGTATAGATGCTTCCTTGGTCCTTTTTCCATAACTGAGGGTTTATCATGGCTCAGGAAATTTCCTGGCCTCCGAATTCCTTTTCGAGGACCCCTTCACTCCCTTTCCAGTGTCCTCAGACAAGAAAGCTTCAATTAAACTATTTTTTTTTTTTGTCTTTTTCATTTTTATTGGTACCGGGGATTGAACTCACGACTGCCTGCTTGCAAGGCAGGCGCTTATGCTGCTGAGCTAAATCCCCAGCCCCCGATTAAACTAATTCTTGCTGGGAATGAAGCTCAGTGGTAGAGCACATGCCTGGCAGGAGTGGGCTTCGGATTAGGATTAGGGTTAGGATTAGGGTTAGGGTTAGGTTTAGGATTAGGGTTAGGGTTAGGGTTAGGGTTCAACCAGTCAATCAATCCAGTCTCTAGTGTTAAGGAAGTAAAGAAGCAAAGCTTCCTTCTTGCTAGGCATGGTCGTCATGTCTGTAATCCCTGCTCTCAGGAGGCCGATGCAGAAAGATTGCTGTAAGTCTGAGGGCAGTGTGAACAGCCTTAAACTACGAAGCTAGACCTTTCCCCAGCAAACAAAGAAAAAAATAAATCAAAAAACAAAGTTATTTTACCAACTATTTCTTTAATTAAATGAATCATTTATTTTTGGTTCTGTGGATTGAGCTCATACCTGGTGTATGCTAACCTAGAGCTCCACTGTGGAGTTACACTCTAGACCGTGAGTATTTCTTTAAATTATTTTTTTATTTTTTATTTTTTAAAGATAGTGTCTTGCTATGCCGTTCAGGTTGACCTTGAACTCACTATGGCTCCCAGGCTGGCCTTGAACTCTCAGCAATCCTCCTGTTTTAGCCTCGCCAGTGCTGGGATTATAGGCACACACCACCATGTCAGACTCCATGAGCATTTATTTTTAACGAATTAATTAGACACAGAATCTCCTTTGGTATTCAGCTTGATCTTGAGTTCACTATGTAGCTTAGGCTGGCCTTTAGCTCATGGTATTCCTCCTACCTCAGCCTCCTGAGTACTGGGATTTTAGTTGGATGAGACTCCAGCTGACTATTTTTTAATAGTTATTCTTCCCAACTGGTTTTGCATCTTCAGAGGGACTGATGTGTTTCTCACATTTGACATGCAGATCAATCATCTGGGATGTGATGAGATGCAGGTTTGGATTCAGCATATGTAGGATGGGACCTGAGATTGTACATTTCTGATGCTAGTGAGGCCTTTGGTGCTGGCCCATGAATCCCACATAGAGGAACAAGGGTGAAGAGGACTCATGGATGGTTCTGGGGGAAAACTACTGGGATGTGCCAGGGTGACCCCTGGGGAACAGAACCAACCGGAGAGGCTTAGTAAGAAAACTGGCTCATGTCATGGTGGAATCTGACCAATTCTAAGATCTGCAGTTGGCAAGCTGGTGGCCTAGGAAGGGGAACAGCATAGTCCTAGTCTATGTCCAAAGGCCTGATATCCAGGAGCGCTGATAGTGGAAGATGCAGTCTGAATGCTGGCAGGCTTGTTCAAGCCTGAAAGCAGGAAAAGAAAGAAGATCCTTTCCCAACTGGTGGACAGGAGGATTCCTTCTTACTTAGAGGAGTGAGCATTTTGTTCTATGCAGGCCTTCAGCTGATCACATGAGGCCCACCCAGATTAGGGAGGGCAGTTTCCTTTGCTTAGTCCACCAATTCAAATATCAGTCCCAGCCAATGACACATGAACACATCCAGAATAATATTTCACCAAATGTCTGGTCTTCTTGCTCTCAGACAACTTCAGACATAAGTGAACCATCATTGGATGAGAAAACTTGCACCTTTCTGGAGTTTTCATGGCCCTTGGGTTCACCTTGCTTGTCTTCTCATAGTTCTTTAGTGACCATATCTAGATATGTCTCCACATGAGCCTAATGTTCTTTGCTGCACTGGATCTCCAAATCTCAAGGACATATCTCCATATGTTGCCTGGGTTTGCATCATTTCCAACCTGCA